TTGTGATTCTCGGATCAATATGAAGATTATTTGGGAGGAAAAACAACTCTATTTCACAAGAATAGAATTATAGAGAATTTACACCAAGAATTTCTCTCTACAAAAAACCTCACCAAACTCTCTTTTTGTTCTCACAATCTCTTCCTGGATTGTATTTCAATCTCTCTGGATTGATGTTTCTGTGTAAAACATAAGGCTCTATTTATAGCCTTAAAGAAGGTGGTTGGTGGTTGAATTCTTCATTCAACAATGGAGGCTTCAACAATGGTGGCTTCTAGAATGGGTTGGTGGCTTCAACAATGGTGGGCTTCTAGAATTGGTAGTTGGCAGCAACTGAACTTATCACTTTATGGGAATATATTACCAAGAAAATCAAAACTTGATCTACAACGCAATATCCCCTTTTAGCTGAAGTTCATTTCCAAATTAAAGTATTTTCATCCTTTAGCAAACTTGTTCGATAAAACCCTTGAGAGGTGAAGTTGAATTAAGTTAGTCGGACGTCGCTAGCTCCTTTACTCCTCCACCTTTGGGGAGGATCAGCGATTTCATATGCTAACTCTTTTCCATCCATAAGTAAACACTCGTAAGCGGTCACTTTTTGCCACGTAAATGTTACTCCCTCCGTTTCACATTAAAAATGAGGTAGTTTGACTCGGCACGGAGTTTAAGAAAAAAGAAGAAGACTTTTGAAACTTGTGGTCTTAAAAGCTTAAGGGGTAAAAAGTTTGTGGGACCATGACATTTGTGTGGCTATAAAAGCTTCTCATTAAGAGTAAATGAGTAAAATGAAAGAGTTAAAAGTTGAATTATTTCCAAATTTAGAAATGTGTCATTTATTTTGGAACAGACTAAAAAGGAAAGTAACTCATTTAATATGAAACGGAGGGAGTAGTTATTACTCTTATGTCCTAACTTAACGAAAGATGCACGGCGCCCTGTAGACTAATTAAGTACAGAAAATGCAAATTTACCTTTTTTAATTTAATAAGTACTTCCTCACTTTCGTTATAATTTGTTTGATATAGTTCTACGGCTCTACGGCACGAATTTTAAAAAATAAATATATTTAATGACTACAAGATTTTTGAAATTTGTGATCTTAAATATATCAAAGTATTTATGTAGCTATAAAAACTTCTCATTAAAAAAAACACGAGAAGTTTAAAGTTCATTATTTTCAAATATAGAAATATACCGATTTTTTGAAACAAACTAGTAAAAAAAATAGTACTCAAATAGAAAGGAGCGCATTACATTTATCCACCGAAATACTATCTACTCGGGTCTGTTAACAACTTTACTAGTAAAAATAGAGCAAAATGTTTTAAAAAATTTAAAAGACAGAGATTAATTTATTTGCCTCTTGGCAAGCAAACTATGCAATGAGGTAGTTCTGTTCCAAACAAAAATGGTCAAGCCAAAACAGGCCGAGCAAAATCTACAACTGTTAGGAATCATATAGAAAATCACCACCCCTTTTGTTAAAGTATTTACGTACGTGTACCATATACACCAAAATGTAAGAGTATAATTTAATCAATTGTAAAAGATTACTTATCGTTTTTTAGTTATCTAAACCCCTAAAAAGTTTAGCCAGATTAATGCACGGAGCTTATACTCTTTGTACACATTGAAAACACTTACCATTCCGGATCCAATCAAATATTGCACAGTCCTTTCAATCATCTTCATGTCCACACGACCAGAAAGGTACAAGTATGTTCGTAGCAGATCTCCATGTCTATTTTCCTCAGCAGACCAGCCCCTACTCCAAATAGCCCAAGGAGATGAACTGCACATAGTATCATCACGAACCCCATCAAAAGTATTAATCCAAGTTTGATAAGTTGGCAAAGCTTCTTCAGTTATCATATCTCCCACAAGCACTACAAGGTAATCGTCTGAAAGTTCACAAGTCCGTTGCCTCAGGGCCCGAACTTCGTCGAAGAATTCATCCGACGGCTGAGATGGGTCCGGAAGGAGATCATTGGGCTGCCAGGAATTTTCAACGGGCTTGAGGAGAGGGAGAACGCTTTGGGTCACCCAAGGTTCTAATGACTTGAACACTTCTAACTTTTCAGGTGGCATTGAGTGGGTAATCATTTCGTGGTGTAAGGACGCGGCGGAGGATGGAGATAAACGGCGGACAAGGTGATGGCGCGGCCGCCACGGACTGCATGCTAGGGGGTGGGTGCTAAAGTGCGAGAGAGCAGTGAGTTGCATGGTGTATAATTTTAAATTTGGAATAGCCGTTTTACTAGTAGTAGAGAATAATGGTTGAGAGCTTAGAGTTGGCCAATTTCTCCTATTTGGGGGAAAAAGGAATATAGTTTGACCTGAATGTTGAGTACATAACATATTGCATAAATCCCATTTCAATGAGGGGGGAAAAAAGGAAAACGAATACTTAACAAATTTTATAACACTTCAATCGTTTCTTTTTTCCTTTTGAATAGGACTAATTTTGGTCCTTAGTTATTGGTAAATAAATTTTAATTTTAGCTCTTGTAATATCTGATTAAATATATTTATACTTTACTTAATTGAAATATGCAATTTTTTAGCTGTTTGATTTAAATATTCATAAATTTATCATAATTATTAACCATTCAACCATTTAATTACTTATGTGTTATGTTAACCTTGTATTGTTACTTCATATTTGACGGTAATATAATTCAAAATTAGTCCAAATATTATATGCTTCCTACATAAAATGACAAAAATCAAGGACACATTTCAATTAAATGAAGATTGAATGTACTTAATTAGAAATTACAAGGACCAAAACTAAAATTTACTAATAATTGAGGGACCACAAGTGACATTATCCCTTTACCTTTTTTTTTTTGGGTTTAATTATTGGTAATCAAATGTTTACATGGTGGGATTGTTTTTTATATTTTCTAATGTGAAATTTAAAGAATGGTAAAGTGACAGCTAACGAGTGATGTGTCCTAACTCGGACTAGAGATTTGATCTTCCAGTTATATGTATTTTTTGACCAATTTAAAGACATAGTTCAGTTACTTTAGTGTGTTAAAAAATAATTTTATGATTTAACCGGCATAATGAGTAAAAATCAGTGATCATATCGGTAAGTAAAACGTACCCTTCTAAGAAGGTCTATTAAAAAGTGTCATAAAATAGTATTCTTTTTCCGATAAACTTTTCCAAAAAGCTTTCCATTGGAGAAATCAACAAAACAAATGCCATATGAAATCTTGTAAATTCTGAAATTAAATTTTTTTGTTTTTTTGGAAAATACCGTTCTTCTTAATAAGGAACTAATTCAACTCATTATGAGAGGAAAATAGTAATAGATTTAAGTTTTAGATAGTACTCGTATAAATTTCTTTATATACTATTAATGTAGTTTAACGTGCAATAATTAGTTAATTGTTATTTTTATCAGTTTAAGAATTAATATTGATCATAAACATTACATGTGCTGACTGTTTAATTACCTAATAAATTATATAATTGTAAAAATACTTTTCACACGTCAGCGCATCTATTAGAGAGGCAGTGAATTCGATCCATTTGAAGGGGAGGGAATGAGATTTGGTTAAAAAATAGCTAGATTTATAAGTGGTAATTGCAAAATAGTTACCGTTTCAAAAGTAATCATAATTTAATCACTTTTCATATAAAGATAAGTCTGAACGAAAATACTGTTCAAAATTTGAAAAACATTCCAGCATAATATACTGGAGTTCCAGTACGATACACTGGTCCAACATAATATGCTGGAAATTCATATACATGTGCTCCAATCTTCAGTATATTATGCTGAAACTTTCCATGTGTCATGCTGGAAGTAATAGGTGCATCAATCTCCAGTATATTATGCTGAAACTTTCCGTGTTACAACAAAATAGTGGTTATTTTTCAATAACTTTACAAATGCTGGCTATTTTTCAATTACTAGTCCGAAAACTGGCTAGCCCGTGCTATTTTCACGACGGAATGGAACTACTAAGAAGTTTACGTGAGATGGCATCAGAATTCTTCAATTAAATATAATCAACAAGATATAAAACTTAAAATAAATAAATACCCGACATGACTATAAAGTATGAACATCTCCCTTTTGTTGATCAGCCAAACTATAGCTACTTGGCCATTACATAGGCTAGGATTATCAATTATGCATTTAAAGATTTTAAAGTGTACAAGCTACAATTTAATGTGCTAATTGAATGAACTTCCAAAAGGACTTTCAATGTGTAATTAATAACTTGCTCCATGCATGGTCCACATTTTCAGTTAATTCAAAGACCGAAATAGAAAAATCAAGATAATTCTAAACTTGCTCCGTAGTCCTCTTTCTCTCTATGTAGAAATTGTAAAATTAGCACGATCTAGCCAGTTTTCGGACTGGTTATTTAAAAATAGCCAACATTTATCAAGTCAATAAAAAATAGTTACTATTTTGCTGCAACAGACACTACTAGAAATCCGGGGAAAAACGACCACAAAAAGCGACCAGAGTTGGTCGCTATTGGGCTAAAAAGCGACCACAGGGGCCTGGTAGCTATATTGACGGTCCCTTTTATTTAGGGACCACAGTTGATCGCTAATTAGCGACCAACTTTGGTCTCTAAACTAAATGGACCAATTTTTCCGGATA